GAGCAGATGTATGTAAATGCGAGCATGTTTATCCAGGTTGACTTTCTGCGAAGGACCTTTGGCTGCTCATCGCCGGTAAATGGCGACAATTTGTAAAGCGAAGGGTGCCTGAATGGGAAGTTTGTGCACACATGTGCGAATGCCTTGGCTCGTCTTCAGTTTGCTTTTTATTTTCCTGACCCAGATTTGTTACCCATCACCTTGAGGATCCAACCACTTCCAAGAAGCTTAAGTAGCCTGATGAAGTAGGATTCTAGAGTCCAAGGTATCCGTTGGTTGGTATGTATTTTTGTAAAAGGGAAACCGTCTTGATTACAGCTTTCTAGAGCCGTTGAATGGCGCTTTGATGGGTTCTAATGCAGCTATCTGGCAACACGATGCAGTCCACTTAGTAGTAGTTAAATCGAGTGCACATCCCCTGCTCTGCTCAAACATTTCAGTTATTCGCCCCACAAGCTTCGCCCCCCATCTGGGTCTGTATGCAAATCTCAGTCCTTGAGCCTGGACACTTCCACTCTTTCACTTTCCTGCCATAATACACTTGATATATACGAGTATTTTTGCATACCACTCGACTTTGTTTCGTTTTGTGACAAAGTGTCAGAGGAAGGGTCGCCCGACATTCCGGCCATATCTTGTGTTGAATTATATTAAAAATTACCGCCTCTGCTGGCACTCGTTGTGCCTCTGAGAGCACTCGAGATTTATGGCTCCGTGATTATTGCTTCACTTGTCTGGAGATAGAGCAGAATCTGTCTCATAAATCCCACGTCACTCTGGATTGGTTTATCATCTCCGGCAGGAGGGGATCTCTCGCACTCCGAGAGGATTTAAATCCAAACAACTTCCGGTCTTGGGTGCCTTTTCTGGATCTGGATCCCCCCTTGTGTCTTGTTATGTATCTGGCATCGCCCCGCCACGGGCCGTACATTTATACAATTAAGCACTTAATTGTCTGACAGGCAAATTGCTTTGTCAATATTTTCACCAAGTCACCGACCCTCTATCCATCTATCCGTCTATCTATCTATCTATCTATCTAGCTGGCCCCCCTCTCCCGTTCTGACAGCCTCAAGTGGCAAACTTCATTACCCAAACCCTGGCATCGGGAGGAGCAAAGCCATCAAAGAGGCTTTCAAGTTTGACCACAAGTGTTGCTGTTGATGTTTCCCAAAAAGCTTCCTTTTTCCTGTCCTTGGTGGGTGCGGGTATCGGTGTAGGTGTGGGCGGTGTCTGCCTCGTGTCACTTATAAACTTCACTTTAAGCTGTCAATATTTATAAATATTTAGACGCCACGAACGGTGGCTGCCAGGGTTGGGGTCATGGAATGGGAGCTAAGAATTCCTTGACAGCGATGGGTGGTTGTGACTAGGTGGGTTGCCAGGTTTCAGACTCCAAAGGGGAAGAAAGGTCTTCAATGCTGAGGAATTCTAAAGGTTTTGGCTTTAATATGTGAGAGTATTTCTTTATCACAACCAATGTATAACAATTTATTATCCCTTCTATTGAAATCAATTAAAATGATTGAAACTCTAGAGTCTTGTAACAACCCCTAGACTCTCCCGAAAGGTTTAAATGGTTTATATTGAAAAAAAAATCAGTTGAAAAGGGGTTGCTAGCGATTGCCTAACCCACATCTGACAATCATTAGGCGTAATAAATTTATGCTGTCATCCGTCTTGAACCCTTGCCTACCTTGTAGCCTTCCCCTACCCAAGGATAACAAAGGAAAACGATAAAAGACAAGAGCCAACTTCCTTTAAGGCTCAATTCGGAGCCATAAATGTGCAACATAATTCTCGGGCCCTTAATCTGAACGATATTTTTATGCAAATTGTAATCAAGGAGCAAAGGGCACACAAAGCCACAATCACACACGGCCATATGCCGAACACAATTCGGTTCAATAAAAAGCGAACAAATGCCTCTCGGATAAGTGTAAAATTTACAATTCCAATTCCAATTCCGCTTCCGATTCGGAATCCGTTTTCAATTTTCCAACAGTTGTGCCCCCGAAAGTCTTTAAAGTCGAACAATGGACTGGAAAATTTTGCAGGCTTAACCCCGGGCCTGACAACAAAGGATGTGTCGTATCGGGACTTAAGGAACAATGCCGCAGATGTTTAACACATATTTTGCTCGACCATTTAAGCTGTTGATTTCGACGCCCAATCAAATGAAATTATAAAAAAAATTTTCACTTCAATTTGATTCGTATTTTGTCGACTAGACTTCCAAGGGAGGCTGGTAGTGGCAGTCCTTGGATCTCTAATGAAGTCATTAAGGGTTGGTAGTTCACTGCTCAGGTCCTCCATCTTGGCATGTGTGTGGTTAACTTTTGGCAAACACAGAGGTCCATAAATGTTGTCGTTCCAGCCGGCAAATGAATAAATTATCAACTATGCGAGGTAGGAAAAGTCCTTCGGCCTCATCTCTTTCGGGTAGTTGACTTTTCGGTGTGAGTGTGCTCTAATTGCAGCTCCTTGTCGTCGGGCCATTAGAACCCGGCCTAATGGCTCTCATTGCAAGGAAGGGCGGGAAGTGGTCTTGCCTTGCTGTTTGCTGGATGGCAACTTAAAGTTGGTAGAAGCCACAGCAACATTAGCGCATAAAAAAGGCATTTGTAAGACATGAAAGGTACTCAGTCAAAGAACCAGGGACGGCAGGTGGTTTCCTGCTCCACCCACTGGCCCGGCAATATAAAAAGGGAGGCAGAAGCTGAATTTGGATTAAAATATACCCTAGAGAAGAGTGAATGATGTGGCATAGTGAGCCTATGTTCTGTAGGCTTTAGGCTAGCTGGGAGTCGGATGTCCTTTCTTCATCATACCTTGTTTACCTCCAGCAAGGGGTATCAAAAGATAAGAAAAAATCAAAAAGGGAAGACAAATCAATGCAGGTGTCACAAATGTCAGACGACAGCTTTGGGATCCGTCGTCCCTTGCCGGGAGGATATTAATGTCGCCAAGTGAATTGATGATGCCGATTGTTGTTGTCCCAGGACATAAGCCGATTTGCCATCTTATCACAGGGCCCGATGTCGCTCCACGGGAATACAACTCCGATTTCAATCTGGGAGGCGAGCTTTCATAATGGGCTTCCCCTGCGCCCCTTCGCCGATTGACAGCCATAATAAATCATGTGTTATAGTATTAATCAAGCTGCTCCTGTGCCAGCCTTTGAGACTGCTTTTGTTGTTGCGGTAATCGCTTGACATTTATTGCAGTTACGGCTCAGATATCTTCCAGTTTAAGGCGAAATTTTAAGTTCTGCTGAGGAGGTGGAGGGTGCTCTCCAGAAAGTGTCCTTTAATTGCGCCTATTTTGTCTGCCGGCTGTATGTCCTTGCAGCCTCTTTCGCAGGCATTGTTTCTCTAATTGCCATTTGTCGCCAGTGTCCCATGCAAGTGGACCGGACCCCTTCCGCCCAGCGACTCTGTCTGGCCGTCACATTAAGAACTTGTAAAGTTAAATTAAGTGTTTCGTCTAGTAAGCAAGAAAAAAGCAATGGCAGCAGAAGCGCCCAAGATGCCGAAGAACTTTCGAAAGGATAATTGGAGGTGGAAGATGTGGAAAAGTAGCTGAATGTTGCGCTACACGAAGGTCTTAATGGCCTTCCTTAGGACTTGAGAAATTAAATATAAATATATTAAGAAGCTCTATAGTTTATCACACATTATTTTACACACTATCTACTATCTCAAAGTATATGTACATGAAAGTTTCCAGCCAATTACAGTGGCCTTGTCTCACCTACACCGCCTGGCCGGCAATATTATTTAATTCGCAGACAGTTAATTGTAATGCAATTAAGGGATTAGCTGAGAATGCCATTAGGCTTTATTGTTGCCATGGCATCACAACTGAAATGAGTAAGCTCGAGGTAAATTTAGCAGAGTACACCTCCGGCTTTTCGTTTCAATCCTGTCTCCAACAAGAAAGCATCTAAAATCGAAATAAAAATGCATTTTTCAATTATTTAAATGACAGGCAACAAATCTTAAGTGTTGCCTAAGAGGAGGCAACTTAATGTGATTGCTGGATTCTTCGATGCGACTGGAGGACCACAAAATCGAAATCGGCATATCCCCGGGGGGACCAGGACCAGGACCAGGACCAGGACAACTTGTGGGCTGTCCGTACGGTCCATTTAAATAAACCAAATGTTGACTTTGGCCCCAACTACTTTGATATCTTTCGGCTCCAGCTTGTTTTTTTATTCTGGTTGGTCCTCTTCTCTTTTTGTTCAAAAAATAAATTTCCTCGCATTTTATTTTGCTTTCCATTTGATTTGATTTTTAGCCTAGGTCTACGACTATAACTGCGACTGCCAGGGACTTCCTTTTCCAGCTGATATCAGCAAAAATCGCAAATCAAATAAACCAAATTGAATAAGAGACAAGTGCCACGCCCCCTCCCAAAGCCGGATGCGACGGATGGGGGCGCAGGACACAGGCCGGAGGAGGGCGTGGCTGAGTCTGAGCCTCAATAGTACAAAATTAGTTGGTAGTTCCATTCGGCCAAACGTTGTTGTAAATGCGAGGACAGAAATCAAAATGTTCGCATAAAAGAATTATCTGTGCTTAAGTTAGATTATCCCTGGGCCATAGAATCCGATTGGCAATTGAATGGAAAGATGTCGCAGATTCGATTTGCCAACTTTATTTTCCCGCCCCTTGATTTGGAGTTCGAGTGCCACTTGAAAAGTTCTCGTCCATGCGGCTCCCTGTATCCGTCTCCAAATGCATTTTCTTTTTATCGAATTTCATTTGATTTTCTTTGGGCTTAGACAACAACAGCACAAAGGGGGCTCTAACAACTATGTGTTGGCCATATGTTGGGGGCGTTTTTCGGTTTTAGGGTTAGACAATTGTTATGGTAGCCATAAAAAAGGAGGTAGGCTGAAATCAAGAATACAAATTGGAGGAAAAATCTATATAAGTTCCTTTTGGGGATGAAGCTACTAAGAGGAGAGCTTAGCCAATAAATCAAGGAATGTAATCTTTTTAGTCTTGAAAAGTTTTAATAATGCTCTATGAAGTGTGTTAAACAAATATTCCATTTAGCACATGGTTCCTGTGCCTGTTTTATCGGACTTGCCGGACTCCAATTCCTGAAGAACCGACGAAAGAAGAGTAATCTCACCGAACGCAAAATTCATGATGCGATCGATCTCGTGGCTATGAAAACTCTGGGAAATATCTAAGGATTATAAACATTATTAATATTTGTCCTTATATTAAAAATTTTTCTAAGAATACCTCGACGTTTGCACAGCAAACGATACAATATCTGTATGCCATCAAACATGCGCTCCTTGTCAAGGCTGTACATTATGGTAGAGTCCTTGCAGGCGCTCAGGATCTTCTCCCACTTGAGGCATGTGGCACGCGAGTGTACATAGGAGCGCTCCAGTCGGGCCAGGTCGTTCTTGAGGCCCAGAACCGTTAGAGCTGCCTCGCTGGTCAATTGCACCATTCGCTGGCGCATCTCCTCGATTTCCTTCAGCTTCTGGCTTCCCAACTCATTAATTTCCACCTGGGCTAGCACTACAAAAAAAGGGTATTTTAGAAAGGACAACAATTAATTGAGAAGCATCTTACTCAAAGCATCACATCGATCAATACAGTCCTTTGTGGATACAAATATGTCAGAGACCTTCACCACATCATTCAAGACCCTCTCATAAGGTTGGAACTTGGCCGTGGTGGCCTTGAGGTCGTTTCGAAATGATTTCAGCACGGAAATGGAGGTCTTATACTCATCGATGAGCTTAATGACTTCCTCGTGGTGAACCGACTCCTCGCGGATGCACTTGTCTGAGCTGCGCTTCTTGTCCGCGCAATCCTTGATGAATCCGTTCACCTCGACGAAGCGTTTTCGCAGCTTTTCCTGCATTTTGTACATCTTCCGGATGCGCTGGACATTTAGCGAAGACTGCCGCTTGGCATCGTTCAGCAGCTGGACCTGGACCTGTTTCATGGCATCGTACTCGCGCAGGTTGGCGATGTAAAGCATCTCAATGGACTCGCCAGCGGAGTCCCAGTTTGGCGGTTTTCTGTGGCATCCAATTATATGGTCAGTAGAGAACCGGGGACATGAAGGACTCTGACTTACACGAAAAACTGATCCTGCTGCTTCGAAACTTTATAGTCCTCGATGGCCTGCTCGGGACTGAGGTCCAAGTCTCCGATAACATCGGTTTTAATAGTTGGCTTACGGCGCGGCATCTTGACTGATTGGAAAATTGGTTATTTGTCAAAGAAGTATGTATATATTGGGGATATAAGTTTAGCTTCATATATTTTATGGTTAATGTGGTGTCAATGTTTTAGGTTTATGATTGTGACAATATCAGCATAGACTTTAAAATCTAAGGCTTCTTTTTGTTCAATGAACCACACAACTTTACGAAACCAAACATATTTTTGATAGATTCTTTTAATGAAAAGTGGCCAATTTCTTAAACGAAAATCCCACACTGTTTTCCAATGGTGTAAAATATTTATCTCTCCCAATTAACCCAATTTCAGGTTTTCAAAAGGAATACAATTTACGATCCAAGGCACCACGATCTGCATATAAATATAAGAAACAAAAACGTTATAACCCGCCTAACCCGCCCACCAATATCAATTGGAAAAAAAAATTGCGATATTAGTTTTCGTTAATAAAAAGCTGAAGAAACTTTAAGCCAACTTTTAACAGTAAGAGTATATAATCTTTGAATGTGCCCAACAGGAGACCTTGTTTGTTTAAAAACTCTATCATGACAACGATGGGGGGACATTCTTCCCGACCTGACAACTATTGGCAAGGGGATTAATGATCGTCGTGGCAACCAATGTTATTTTTTATACCCCAAATAAAAATCATGTTTCAGGTAGTTCTTTATTAATTTTATAAGAAATCCTTAATACATTGAACCAAGAAAGCACATGTACACGAAAACCCCATTCTCACACCGTAGTAACCAAACAAAAACCGAAAATGCCAACCACTAACCATTTTTTTTCAAGGCGAAACTTTTATTCAACCGCAAAGGCTCCAAGATGCCGCGTGTCAAGCCCACCAAGAAGGTAGATGTCCTGGGAAATTTGGACCTCAGGCCCGAGGAAGCAGTGGGTGACTTTCTATGCTCCAAGCAGCAGGATAAGTACTTTGTGTAAGTATTACTAGAATTCTGAAATTCGGATTTGTTTATCCTTCTAATCCTTCGCAGAATACCCCCAACGCTGATTCCGCCGGGGAGTCTATCGAGTTAATTTATGTCAACAATGTCCGGGAACACGAAAGTATGCTCAAGTTGCAGGCCGAGATGCTGGACAACGCGAAGCGGCAGACCAAACTGAACTCCTCTCGGGTGCGGAACATGTACAAGGTCCAGGAGCAGTTGAGGAGCCGCTTCATCGAAGTCAATTCCTTCATAAAGGACTGCGGGGACAAGAAGCGGACGGCGGAGAAAATCGCGGCGGAGGAGACCATCTACCACAAGGAGCTGGGCGAGGACATTGAGAGCTTTAAGAGCTCGATCGATGAGCTAAAGGCCTTCCGAGAGGCCCTCAAGTCCACCGTCGAGGAGTTCGAGCCCTACGAAAAGGTCCTTGACGAGGTGGTGAAGGTCTCTGACATGTTTGTTTCCCCAAAGGATTGCATTGATCGCTGTGATACGCTACGTAAGAACTTCATATCGTATGTTCTTTAAAAACAGCTCACCAAGTTTCTATGACAGTGCTAGCTCAGAAGGAAATAAGCCAACTGGAGCAACAGAAGCTGTCAGAAATCGAGGAGATGAGGAAGCGGATGGTGCAGATCACCAACGACGCAGCCCTGACTGTTTTGGGTCTCAAAAACGATCTTTCTAAGATGGAGCGGTCGTATAACGAGTCCAGGATACAATGCCTCAAGTGGGAAAAGATTCTGGCCACGAGCAAGTGTGCCATATCCGATGGCTTCATGGACAAGAATCGTACCCTGGATGCGATTAATAACTTGTACCGAATGCTGTGTCGGCGACGAGGTGGGTCTTGAAAAGATTTAGAAAGGTCCTTTTATTAATTATTCAAAACCTGATTATTTAAGACATACCTGGAAAGACGAATCGGAATGAGTTTGACATGCAGTTGGATGTCATAAAGAATGAGGTTGAGATACTGAGCGGAGTCTTAAAGCAAGTCGAGGCTAATAAAAGCAAAGTGAAACAAGTTAACGATCAGGATGCTTAGCTTAAGATATAGCATTTAAAGAACTAACAAATGTATCATGCTTCCTATAATCTTTAATACATTTTTGATAAAACACTAGCCCCACTGTGTTTCCTAGTAGGTTTTTATTATTTGTTCATTCAAACTTTTAAACGGTGTACAGGGAACACTATACACACATCAAACACACAAAACTATACATACAAAATACATAATCCTTCCGCAAAAAAAAAAAGTTACAACACTTACCATTGAAGACTTACATTATTTTAAGAGTTTTTAATTAAAAAAGTTATCAAGATGCCGCGACACAGACCCACAAAGAAAATAGATGTCCTGGGAAACCTCGATGTGAGGCCGGAAGAGGCGGTTGGGGATTACCTCTGCTCTAAGCAGCAGGAAAAATACTTTGTGTTAGTAATTATAGATCTTCCGATCCATCCAGTAATAAATAAATTTACAAGAATACCTTTTTTTTAAGACAGCATTCCTCCCAACTCTGACTCCGCCGGGGACTCTATTGAGCTGATATTCGTGAACAATGTCCGAGAACACGATGCCATGATCAAGTTGCAGGCCGAGATGCTGGCCAACGCCAAAAGACAGGCTAAGGTGAACTCGACCAGGGTGCGAAACATGTACAAGATGCAGGAGCGGCTGCGGAAGCGTTTCATCGAGGTGAACTCCTTCATCAAGGACTGCGTGGACAAGAAGCGGGCGGCCGAGAAGATCACCAACGAGGAGACCATCTACCACAGGGAGCTGGGTGAGGGCATTGAGAGTTTCACGGGCTCCATCGGTGAGTTGAAGGCCTTTCGAGAGGCTCTCAAGGCCACCGTCCAGGAGTTCCAGCCCTACGAGAAGGTCCTCGACGAGGTGGTGAACAGCTCCCAAATTTTTGAGAGCCAGCAAGACTGCATCGACCGTTGTGATGCCCTAAGTAAGATTTATTTTTTTATAGGACTATTTAATTAATACAAATTTTATATGAAAGTGCTTGCCCAAGTGGAGATCAGTCAGCTGGAACAGCAGAAGCTTGGAGAAATCGAGGATATGCGCAAGCGGATGCTGAAGCTCACCAATGAAGCAGCACTGACCGTTTTGGGTCTCAAGAACGATCTCTCGAGGCTCGAGAGGTCCTACAACGAGTTCAGGGTCCTGGGCCAGAAGTGGGAGAAGATCCTGGCCAAAAGCAAGTTAGCCATATCGACCAACTACATGGACAAGAACCGCACCATGGATGCCGTCAGCACCTTGTACCGAACGCTTTGTCGCCGAGGAGGTGAGTCCTTAATCATATCAAAGGATTGTTTTTAATTCCTCTACCATAGACGCGTCCGGAAAGTTTAATCGCAATGAGTTTGAAACTCAAATAGATGGCATCAAGGAAGAGGTGGAGATTCTGAGCGGCGTCTTGAAGATAATGGAGGCAAGCGACAGTGCTGCCAAACTTGAGGAAGCTAGGGACAAGACCCTCTGTTAATGGAATGAATAAATTTCACGTATTGGAAAGCTGTACAGCCAATAAAAGTTATAGCAATAAAGCTTCAAATTAAAGTCGATCCTAGGTTATTAGTAGAATCATATTTTAAATTCTTGTCAACTATTTTTATCGCTGACCTGCAAGTCAAGTCCGTAGCTTTTATTAATGGCTCTGGGCTCTGCACTCACTGGTTAATGCCACTTTCTAATTGCTTCTACCTCATAAATCTTCCGGCCAACTTGCTCCCAATGCTTTTGTCCGGGTCCGGACTGCTCTGGTCTTGGGTCCGGTTTTGTCGCGTCTTGCTCTGCAGTCGTCATAAGTCACCAAATTGTCGGACACTCAAGACAAATGTGATGCTGGCTTATTTAATTAGAAAGCTGCAGAGACAGAGCGGCGAAAAAGCAGTATTTAACGAGCAGGGTCTGTGCATCAATTGGACATTTGGCGCAAAGTGCGCCAACTTCGCTTGACGGCTTTTTAATTACGTTCAGGCCAGAAAAGTGCTCCCCGGCCACCGCAACTTCTCTGCATGACAATTAGCGACTAAAAAAGAATTCGCCACTGTCAATTGGCATTTTTCTTCTATTTTTCGATTGCAAAAACTTTTTTAATTACCCCGCAACGAGACACTGACTTGAAGCACAAAAAAAACAAATGCCAACATTTCCGCCGACGGCCCGGATTTTCAATTATTTATTGACAGAAGACCCGATTCGTCGTTTAACCTGTCCTTTTGCCACTTGACGTGACCTCCACTTCCCGTGCGAAAGCTCACACCGAAAGTTGCCACAAAAAGTGTCGCTTTAAACTTAGAACGCCATCGTATGTGTTAAAGTAATTAGCAGATAAAAAAGTGTTATTTTAATCACCCTCTGGCCTGACACCATCCTAATTATGCATAAATTACAGAATAATGTATTCAAATGTGGCAAATACACTTATCAGGGGGAGGAGGAGGACCAACGACCCAAAATAAATTTTCATGCGATCCGGAAAATAGTTCTTGTCGCTCAACTCTTTTGGGCCTCTGACATCTTTATGCCATGTCGGCTTATGGTCGTGTTTTGATTCCAGTGCTCCAAAGACATTTCCGCTTTGGAAATCGGGGGAATTCGAAAAAAAATAAAAGGTGTAAGAACTCCCCCGCCGATGGTGATGCATGGGAACATTTTAATTAATGCTGACAGCTGAAAATATCGCGGCCACCTTTTGTTGTGTAAATTTCATTGACACGACCCGTTCGTCTCTATAATTATGATTCTCCGCTTCGTTTTCTTTCTATTCAATTTTCCTTGATATGGCTCAATCGAGCAATACGTCACCAAGGTAATCTGCTTAGGTGTCGCATAGCCCTCGGGGTTTGCCGGACTAGACAACTGCCAGACTCAGACCCCAAAACTCAAAAAACCGAACCCAATATCCCCATATCCCAGGCCGATGAATCAGATCAGACCGCTGCCAGACACTTGGCCAGACGGTTAAGCCCTAATCCCTAATAGTTGTTGGTTCTTAAACTTTTCTAGGGTTTCCGCCCGGGGCCTTTCGTGTCCACCCCGGTGTCAAGGTGAATGAATTGGACTCCAACAGGGAGTCGCGACTCCACTTATCTGGAAAGTTAATTAATGCATTCAATTGTGCGACAGATTCGTGGAAAATGAATTGAGATTAGCATTAATAGTAGATTATTCAAAAATAGGTTTTAGGGAGAATTAATGGAGCTGATAAATCATAGAAAAGTGGCTAAAATCAGGGACCATAAATAAAAGGTTATCATTGTTGAGGGTGATAATTTAGATAAAACATGTACTAGTTCGGTTTAAAATATGTTTATAAATATTAACAAAAATTTAGTAGACACTATGATATATAGGTGAATAAAATACAATTTGAAATTATTGTTTCTAAAACCCATTTTTTAGGAAAATAAAATATACATATGTCCGGAAAAGGCAAAAAGCTATGTCCCATCCACTCTCCATCCAAAGCACTATAGGATAATGAATTATTCCACATAGGAACAGAGGGCTTTTGGAAGGGAGAATGCCCCAAAATGACACTGAAAACTATTGACCCTGGCCACGTCATCGAAGAACTGTGTACCCTTTGGCCCCCGGCCAGGAATAGAGCGCTCTCATCAGTCTGAGGTCCGAACAGGAGTAGCAACAATTTTCATTGTAATAACAATATATAACACACAAATTTGAATAACAAATTAACTCGCACACACTCGCACTTGGTCGATGAGTGACATTCGGGTAGTCTTTGGATCCAGGACGAGGAGCTGGTCGAGGACCAGGTCCAGTCCGGGCAAATGTCGTGCGACTTGAAATTGCCATTCGACTTGGGCGCCCAAGCGACATACATACAATATAATTGAATGCCTCCAGGACGTACACACAGATGTGTATGCACAATACAGGAGAGCAGGCAAAGCAATAGCCACAAAATATTTGCTCATGCCAGGACAAACCAGTCCTGACCAGACCCCAAGACCAGAGTTAGAGCCCGGCCCAAACAGCTTTCGACCAACAGCCAAATGTGACTTTGCAGCGTCAACGTCAATGTTGCATAAATCAACACACCGACGATAACGCTGCCAATTTTGTGGCTCTATATCCGTCGCGCCCCCGCCCCCACCACTGCCAGTTGCCACTGCCCCTGTGGCAGCTCCGCCCCCGCCCCCTCAAAGTTGATTGAATATTTCAAGCCATGCATCTTTAATAATGCGCCACGACGATGTCGATGTCGATGACGCTGCCTCGGGCCTGTTTGTGGCAGCACCGACCATGCAAATGCAAATGTGCAAAATGCAAAGTGCACAGTAGCCGTCGTCACTATGCAAAGGATGTAATTTGGGCGTAGTTTCCTTCTTCCTACACTAAACTGACCGATGTCCATACCCGGGAACCTGAAGACCCACCTCCAGACTAGCAACTAGCCTTCTAATCAAACCCGCCTTGACTTTTATTTTCTGCGTGATGGGTGCACTCTTCAAGGGGGCTATCAGGATTAAAAAAAACTCTTAAATATAGGGAATACAAATTACTTATTTTAACACAGATCTCTACTCAGATAGTAAGCTATTTTGTAAGTAAAATATTGCCACTTTCTAACCAACTTTCAACTTGGCAGGGTATCTGCATGTTTTTCTTTCGTGGCCACCAAAGAAAAACTTTAAATTTTGAATTGAGCCTTGGTCTTGGTCATGGTCTTGGGCTAGGTTTCCTTTTCGGTTTCGGTCTCGGTCTGGCAACATCTAATTGAATCCGACCGCATCAAGATGAAGTTCGTCTTTGGCGACAGTTTTGTTTGGGGTTTTGTGACTCCAGACAACCCCGATCCCTGTGCCCTTTTGGGTCCATCCACTTTGTGTGTGTTTAGTTGACCGCAGTCAAAAATAGCTTTGAAAAACTTTAGCTGGAAAAGTCTCCATCCCATTGGGGAAGGTCTCATCCCATCGCTCAGCTCTCAACAGGATGAAGCCCAGCAGGATGAGGGAGATATTCGGTTGCTGGCATCTTTGTCAAAGTCAAAAGTTTGTCATAGTTCAAGTTAATGTTCTGTGACTTTTCGCAGTTTTCTCCTAGTCCAGGCAAATGAACCATGTTTCGGATGATGTATTGATGTATTGCCAACAAGGAAATAAGGGAAACGAAGGAAAACTTTTAATAAGTTTGTCAATTGCTGGCATAGATTGCATAATGCTGAGGGCCAAACTTTCACAGCTAATAAAATACTGGTACAATACTGGTGCTACCTTGTGTAGTTAATTCAAGAATTATATATATTTTTTTATTGCGTATACGCCACGTTGCAGTCTCGGCGAGACAGTATCCAATCAGCTTACTGCGGCTGAGCTCAGACTAAGGGCACTCTCCTATCTCCGAGATCCAACAATGGATGAATTTAATTAAGCTTGTGCTTTATGCTGTTCGCTATGGCAAGCCTAGGTGAGCGGGACCCATGAATTACATTACACATACGCAGCGTGGTCCGGTGGGGCCGACCACAGGAAATTAATTTGGTGTCTGTGCATTTTATTCACAAGAAACACTGCACCGAGTGTGAGTTTTCCAGACACCGCACCCTAATCCCTGGCGAAGCAAAAAAGTTACTAAGCTGTTGGAGTTGGCTGGCAGGTTTCGGTGAGTTTATTATTTAGTGGGAATTATTTGACCAAAAACCTAGTTCAAAACTGATTACTCCAGGCTATCAGTAATCTTAAATGTCAGGCCAAAGCTCAAGAGTTCCAGCAGATGTAGATTCTCAGTGAACAGATAGCCCATTAGGCATCAATTAGTCACACGACCTGTACCCCCAGAACCTCTTGATTAGGCTAGTGGGTGTGGCAATCAAAATTACACCCCGTCAATATTATCGACACGTATTAGAAGCTGCCCTGCTGACCACACATCCTCCCCCCCAGTGGAGTCGCACTCAAGGAGCCGGACTATGATATCCTGCTGACACTTTGGACAGGCCGCAAAGCCACTGACTTTGATGCGGGGCGGGCCGGGAAGGACTCTGGCCTGCGGGGCATTTGACAAAGGTGTGTGACTTGCAGCGGAAGCTGTGCATAATTGGAAAATAGTTCGGACAGCCGTCGACGCACGGCCGGTGGCCATTAAATAGCAGACCAATTCCGATGCGGCTGGCCATCCTCAAATAATTGGCCCGAAACTTGCCTCGACTTGAGGGCTGGAAGTTGCGTAATCATATTGTGAACCCAGCTCAAGGGGGTATTCATTAGAACTACTCGAAGGCAGCACCACTTTAATACTCACTTTCCCATTAAGTTCCCAAAAGTTTCATCCAGCCTGGCCCCCATCTGGGTCCTGAAAAAGTTTCCTGTCGCTGCCTCATAAATTTCAAATTTTTAACCATGAACATAAGTTCTGCATGGAGTTTCCCCCAGTTTTTCGAACACAAAAGTATAACTCCACAAATACGCAAATCGCAAAACTCATTACGCTAATTAGATGGAGGGGATGGCACGGGATATAGGCTAAAAATTTATGTGGATCGGACTAAGTGCCTCTGCGGCTAATGGAGGATTTGAAATTTGCAATAT